GGGGGGGTCCAAAATGTACCTTTAACGGTATACTAATACAATTGTCATTAGAACACTATTGTTTTGAGTCCTGGGTAAATACTTTCAATGGGGGTAATAAATCATCGTGAGGCAAGTTGGCAGAAAGAAGGAGGGGAGGAGGGGCGCAGAGAAAGGGTACTTGACAGACATCACACCAATTTCTGAATCACCTTTTTATCAAATTATGTAGATACAGCTGTTTTACGCCATCGTCAATGTAATTTAGATCATTTAGGAGGCAAACTTAGACCCTGCCAGTCAGATCCAATTCAAACTGAAAAGATGGAGACACTATATAATAATTCTCCCCTCATAAGAAACGAACATAGACTTTTGCGTCCAGCGGCAAAGCGTTAAACCACTACACCATGAACGCCGCTTCTTCCACAATGTATTAGGGGATTAAATAACACTAAACAGCGTCAGGAAAATAGCATGAACCACAAGGCATGAAACAAAGTTATAACGATTATGATAATAATAGTTCACTATCTACAGTATCTCTAAAACGACTCAAAATTATCGTTAGAAAAATGAACAACAACAACAAAAACAACACAAATTTAAAAAGAAAAGAAATCCAACATCAGACTATTACACGAGGTGAACATTCTTTGAGCATAATAGAAACATCAATACTTTACAGGAATTTTCAGTGTTATGTCTTGCACACCAGAAGCATTAATGCCTATATTATTTGGTATCTCAGACTAGCAGATGTAGTAATTTGGTGCCTCCAATGAAAGAATGGGTATTGTCACATAATCTATTATCTATTTGTGGTGGCCGAATTTTGCTATTCAAAAGGCTTTTTAATGGCTGCATCGATCCACATGCGGTTTTCGCCAAAAATTCTTTCAAATATTCTCCAGATCATGGCGCCCTTGATTTTTTTCAGTTTTGAGACAGTTTTGCTGCAAAAACCTAAATTTCTTTATTTCGCCGATCGCGTTTGTAGGCCGTCGCTCTGTAATTTTAGAAAATCCGGAAGTGATATTTCGCGAGGCACATTTTGTTTTGAGAGTATAGATCTAGACCTTCTCATTTTTTGCATCTCTCAAGATTTATTGCCCCATTCCAGTAGAGTGTAAATATAGTAGGCCATAGACGTTTGGTTGATATTAAAGCACCGATCATTCCTTTCATCGAAAGGGGACCCAGCTAGTAATATTATACTATCAATCGGCACCTCTTGTGCTCTTGCCTACTTCATTTTTCCACCTGTCTCGTCTCTGAAGTTTACGTGATTAGAGGGCTTTAATCCTAAAATAAAATGCCTCGAGCGGAGAGCTCGGGTCAGGGGGGGGGGTGTCATGAGTTGTAAGTGTTTACCTGATGCCATCTATCCAGGTTTTTCTCTGTCGAACTCTAGCCTTGTTACATTTGCATTTATTTTTTTATATAGGCACGTTGTGATGGATGGTGTGTTAGTAATCGCATGAGATGTCCAAACATTTAATTAATTCTTTGATAATGGATGTGATGCATGCCATCATTGTGCCCACCATTTCTCAGACTACTGAGCTTCTAATTTTGTCTCGCCTGGTCGTTTTTGCTTCTGTTCTAAGACATCGTATCTCCCATGTTATAATTTTTTGCTCCTATGGCTTGTTCGTGGGACATATTTGGACCAAAGCATAAAAATGCAGCGGTTTAGGGAGTGGGAGAGAGTAATTCGGATAATAACTATTATTATTATTGTTGTAAATACCACCTAGCCGTGTAAGCCGCACTCATCGTTTACTTGTAGTTATTCTAGGACATGCCGTGTCCCCACACGGTATGTGGAAACGACGGTCGAACTAACTGGTAAACATAATAATAATATATCATTATTATAAGTGACCCTCCAAAAGTGGGAGGATTTAGGTAAAAGTAAACTTGAGCCTCCTATTCCAAACTTCCTTGACCTATTACTATTAAGCATATCCCGGGGTCTCCGCTTTCCGTGGGTCAAGATACGAGTCACTGCGGCGTTGTGTGTGTGTGGGGGGGGGGGGGGGTGGACGTTGTTTTGATATAATAATAATTTGTTTTTAAGAATTTGATGGGAAAATGGGGCTGGGAGGGGGTGGAGGGGTCATTTATGTTTACCAGGGATTTTTATTCTTTAGATAGGATTATGATGCGTCTGTTTAGTCGCGCCCAGCAATGGTACATGCATTAAGCTTTTGTTTTTGTTTTTTTTAATTTTCATTTACGTGCCCCCCCCCCAAAAAAAAAAAAAAAAAGAAAAGAAAAAAGAAAAGAAAAGCCCAAAATCAACACAATTTAGATTAATTATATTTGGAGGCGGACTTCTAACCTGCCATAATTTTATGACTTTGAAATATAGAAACAATTTTAAAGGTCTTGAAAACGAAAAAATCAAATGCACCTACATGAACTGTTGCTATTACTGAACATGTTTTTTAGCCCTCACCGACTATTAATTTAGACTTAAGATCACTTGGGAGGAAGGCTACTTTTAGCTTGTCAGTCATGGCTAACCTGGGCTGAATTGGATACAACATCACAGAAAACAGATTCTCAATAAAATAGACATATTCGACTTTGAAAAACAAAACAAAACAACAACAACAACAACAACAACAAATGCATTCCCGTAAGGAACCGAACTCACATAATATTCTGCTTTTGACGACGAAGAGCATAACCGATAAAACACAAAAACGCTCCAGATCTCTTTAAGAGACTGATAAAAACTCAAAGCAAAGCACAAAGGAGCAGTCTCACAATAAAAATATTACAATCCTAATTCGAGGCAGGAACAAACACTCTTTCAATAACTCACTCTAATTTCTGTGGAAAATGTACAAATCAAGTGTTGAAACTGTTCAACATTGCAGATATCGAACACAGCGTAATTCCATCCGCCATTGAGAACATAACAGTAAATTTTAAAGTCTGTTACTCATTCACACACTTAAACTACAGGGGGAAATCAAGGATGGTTTGTCCTTGTTTTCTGTAAAAAGTAATAATGCTCATTAAGGTCACTTGGGATCAGAATTAATAAAAGTTAGAACAATAATTAGATCTATATCACATTGTTATAACACGAAGAACACTTCAAGACATTGTAAAATAATGTTAGATGTAATTTAGGCACTTAAAACAAAACACTTTGACCTACCTTAAGATATAAGGGTTTTCTTTACTTTACAAGTTCCTTTCGTTTAGAACGAACAGGGATTATTATTATTATCATCATTCATCATTTTTTGCATGAAAGCTATTGAAAACATTTGATTGCGGTTTTAACTACGATCACATCTTTATACTACTGCCCAAGCGTGAGCGGTTGGTGGGTGCTCTGGTGTGGTTTGCTCTTTCCTTCTTATCAAGCATCTATCATCTTTATCTCCTATCTTTCTTGTTTGTTTTTGGCACTCATGTGATCTTATTATGTTGAAAGTGTATAAAACTCTTACTAAAAAAACACACTGCCAGAGCAGCGATTTTCTCGTTGAAAAATATGTTTTAGTGAGACAATGCAAGATAAATAACAAAACAGTAAAGGATTAGATTTTTATAGACCCACTAGGCAGCAGTCACGTCTCTCTCTTTCAAGAAATCTCTCTATTCCAGCAAACATTTCTTCTAACAAATCACTCTATTCCAGTCAACAAAAGTACTTGCAAAACAGTAATGCGTCATGATAAAGCAACTATGTCAACTAGGGAGTCAATAACCTTAACTCTTTATGGACGTAACAGACAGTGGCGTTCGATCATTAGATCAGTGGCAGATGCGGTAACCTCATGATTTCCTAGTACCTTAAGCATATCGCTGTTTACTTTTTGAGGTTTCAGATTTCTAAAAAAATTATTACAGTACTAAAAATCAGAATGACAATCGAAATTATGGAATGGGGGGGGGGGGGGGGGGCTTCCTAATTTGTGCATTGTTTTTTCAAAAGGTAGTGAACCTAATTGAATTGAATTTTCATAATCTTTATTTATTTGTTATATGTTATTATCTAAACCTCATAATAAGTACACTTCATTACTTTTAAGAATACATGCCTTTTTCTGAAATCCTGCTGTACTGGCAGGGACTGGAGTATGCTGCTTGCTGTATTACTTTATCTGGGACTGAGTTTGGGGAGTTCAGAAAAATGGCTATGGTTTGAAGGACTGCCCACCAAGGGATCGGGGGGCCGGGGGGGGGGGGGGGGCTCCCACAGATATAACATTTAGAAGCATTGAGTCATATATAAAATTATGACTGTAATGGTTTTAACTTTAACTCAATCTATTCTCTGATTTGAACAAAAATATTTACTCGTTTGTTGTTCAACTTGTTCCCTGAAAACATTTAATGAAGCTATTTGAATTTCTTTGCGTAAATAAATTCATTTTCAATTTGTATTATTTCATTACACACTATAATGTTGGAAGAATAGCCCAATTTCAGTATTTCCTCACTAAAAATGTCCAGTTTATATTCTTAGCTTTTCTTTGTTACTAGGCTGAGGTTTATGCAGATGGGGGAGTTAGATAAGATGCCTCCCTTCAAAGCGGGCCCCAGACCTCCCAATGCTTAATCCAGCCATGACCTGACCAACGAAAAAGTGGTGAAATGATAGTGTAGGTTTAGCGCCCCTATCAACACTATTAGGTTACTTAAGAGGCGGGACCTCCGAGTTTAACGTCTATCTCCGAAAGGACTGAGCTAAAAGGGAATTTCGTGCAAACTACCTTTCCCAAGGACACAACGTCGGACCGTGGTGAGGCTCTCGCCTGCCAACATGCAATCTCACGATTACTGGTCCTGAAGTCCATTCACTAGGCTACCGACTCCACCTGAACTGACTAAGGCAATGTGAAATCAATAAGTGTCCAAAAGCATGCTAGTGATCTGGCACTTCTTAATCATTTACGATCATGATCTCGAGCCATTTAACCCTTCCAGGGGTCGTGGAGGTAGCTGCATTGCTGAATGGTGCATCAGCTGATGCCTCGACCTCTGATGGTCATGGGCAAGAGCTTGGGTTGTATAATCATTACTGAATTTTAAATCATAACACAAGTAGGGCTTTATAAAAAATTTGACTTATAAAAGCTTTTCTATTGGGGCGACTTAGATACATGACACCTGCGTGCAAAGTAGTCCAGTTAAACTAACGTTGTTTAATTGGTAATGCGAGAATTTTGTATCTACGGCGCTTTTAAGTAAAAGTTAATTCGTCTGTACCCAGTCCACGACCTGGCATTTTGTCAAGTCTCTACACTATTATCTGGGTCGAGAAGCCTCAAAAACATTTTAACATATTATGGTAGAACTATTTTAGAAATACCCCAACGGCATTGCAGCTCATTTTGCAGCTTTAAAAGACACCAGTCTTTCATTATTAATTAGGTGTACTGATTCCAAAAGCTGTCCGACTCTTCCAGCTAGTGAGAACAAATCGGTACATAAAACATGTAGCTTTTTTGCCGTTAAATCTAAAACATTCGCTTAAGGGAAGCCACTGTGAAAAGATCTGTGACAGTTGTGTAATAATGACCATGTTTTTCTCTAATTTTGATGTGGGACGAAAATATGTAAACAAATCACACTGTTATCTTCCTACGATATTACAGTAAGATACGTTATCTATACAAAGCATTCTCACATTCCCATCTAGACCTGAAGGCAACCACGCTTGCTATAAATAGCACAAGACGTAATCCGATGACGTCATGCAAGGAAGTGCCTCCATTCGTTCCGTCGCCATTTTGTTGCGTCTGCGAGCAGTTCTCTGTTCCGCCTTCCACAGAGACGTAGCCAGTGGTCAGTTCTTGACCCTGTGTGCTGCCAGCCGTTCCTGTGCTCCTCTTTCTCTCTAGGGTCATCTCGACGTCCATAGTGGACGGCCGGGTCTCGTTGTCCCCGCCTAGGACCATGTCAGCCGAGTAAAGGTACCACTCGTTGTTGGCGAAGTCAGCTGTGAGAAGGATTTGGAGAGAGGGGGAGAGGGAGAGAGAGAGAGAGAGAGAGAGAGAGAGAGAGAGAGAGAGAGAGAGAGAAAGAAAG